CATGGAAAGTTGATCGTTTGAAATTTGGCAACGTTGTATCTCCATTTACCTCCTGCAGTACTTTATCTATAGTAGGCATTTCATTCCTAAAGAAGAATTCATGCACTTTCCTCCTAATCGCATGCTTATCAGCTTCATCCAATGATTTAACAATACTTTTGCGATGTTTACTGGTCATTGGCTCAGAAAAGGTGTGATTTTTTTTGTATTGCCTTAACACATTAAACACTGATGCGCGACACACCCCAACTTTGTGAGAAACCTTCACAACAATTTCTTTGATGGTTGATGCCTCGTTCTCCTCGCGCTCGATCTTATATATATTCAAAATGAGCTCTTTCATTTCTGCACTCAGGTGTCTTTTTTTAGAGCGTTTCGTAGGTGGACTACACGAGTTTACAACTTCATCGGCAGTATCTGTACTACTGGGCATTTTGCGCAAGCAGTTGATAACAATACCAATCAATAACAAGGTATAACAATAACAACGACAAACTCAACAACTTAATAAGATAACAAACGAAAACGTCCAAAGAAATATCAAATTGCAATGATGCACACGACATACGTAACACGTCTGAACCTGAATGTGACTCTACCTTGATACGACTGCTCTGCCGCTCGGCATAGGCATTTAATTGCGAATTGACCAATCAGGGCTCCTGTTTTACGTCGAGACGGCGGCGTTAGCGTGAAAATCACCCGAACCTTTTGTTTACATCCGGTCTATCTCTTATCTGAATACACTGTAGTTATCTAGGTTCCAATGCAAGGCCACCAAACCAGGGAGCCATGCCAATGAGATGGACGTACATCGTCGTATAGACCCAGTGGACGAGAAGCTTTGTTGATGTCGAGCAACAAGTGTCTACCGCTCTATGCCTGTAGGTTACTTCCCGCAGAGTGGAACCCTTTGGATCGACAGCACTCAGTCGTTGGGGACGTTCATGGTGGAGTTGGCGGCAAAGACCTTGGCAGGCATTTCCGCCTTAGCTTCTGGCACGTACAGTTGAAACAGCTTGGCTAGTGTCCAGAAAGACTGCCATGGCACTGCGATATTACATTAAGACACTATGTTTTGATGACAACTGATATCTTGACAACATGGAAGTTTTCATCGTCGTCCGGATTGCAGCTAGTCGCTATTAGTTGCTGCTTCGACCCCAATAAAAAAAGCTGCCATTTGCAATAGATTTTTGGACTACAACGTGGTCTTCGCTTACCCAACTGCAAGCACTAACACGTACTTTGCGGAAGAAAAATAATGAACAATCGCTAAAAATATGTGCGTGTGAGTTAACTGCATAGAAAATCCCATAGGCACACTTCTGGCGTGTATTACTTCTCTATGTGCTTCCTGTGGCACGTGCTATTACTGCGAGAGAGGATGAATGTACGGTTCGGAGTACCTTACCGTGACCGTCCCGCTGGTTAGGCACACATCTCTTCCACGTTACGCCGCGGTGCCTCTATGAGCACTTTATAGGTTATGGGCCTAGCAGACGCGTTATACCGTCGGACGTATGAGTCTCTAGCGATTTCAGCAAACTTTGAATTTACATTCACGAACTTATTCGGAGCTTTTATGGTTAATTCGGATCTGAGAGAATAACAGTTTAGATGCTTAACCGCTGCTCGTTGAAGTACACAGTATAAAACTGATATCACAGCTCTTAAGGAACTCTTAATAAAATTTTTGAGGCGGGAGGGTGCCCTGTTGGGATCTTTTGTCAGAGTATGGCAGAGTATTGTCCACCATCATTGGATAAGGTGTTTTTAAGGGAATAAGTCTCACTTTGTGAGTATCCTCAGTAGTGGTCTGAATGCGCCTACGAGTATTATGTCCAGCATGGCTTATTTTTCGCGATCAGAGTACTTCCTCACCAATGGCGCAAGAAGTAAAACATCTTCCATTTAATTAGCATAAAGATGGAACCAAAGGAAATCCCACGCGGCGACAAATACACGCGATATATCGTCGCAAAAGTATAAACGCCTAATCCATAATTATTGCGGTACAAACACTGCGAATTTTTTGCTCTTAATTCTGCTGCTGGGTTAGTGATTAATAAGTAGTAGCAAGTAACCAGCGTCCAGATTAATTTTCTGTGAATAATGCCTCAGAATTTATTATATTATAATGAACTGGTCGTAATAAATAACGCTGTTTAGGCCGTAATTCTTGTTCATTAGTCAATTGGAAAAAGAATCGGGATTCCGCGGTAATCCGTGCTTGCCCATCATGCATCAGGTTATTTATTATTTATCCCGTTTATTAGCGCCGATCTGGTTCTGCTACAGTTTCCGGTGTAAGCACTTTGATGCTGACGAAATTTATTCGCACAATTTCGATCAGTATCGTCGTGGGCGTGACCTCAGAGAAGGAAGTGTCACTGATCAGTCGGATAGACGTCATCAAGGGTCGACAGTGTAGTAGAAACCAAAGTACCTCCTCTCTAAACTTCATCACCGCTTGAGAACGCAACAATTTGTTAGAACTAAATGTTTAAAAAACTAACAGGAAGCGCCCTGGGGAGCAAGGTCTTTTGACATATCAGAGGGGCACAGAACTGTCGGACAGCTACTCTCTTGAAAACGTAATATTAAGACGTTTGAACGGTATTCTCGGTAATCCAATCAACAACGCAAGGAAAATTACAAATTTTTTGTCGACAATTCAAAACTAATATCAAATGTCAAACAAGAATCCTGGGAACAATTATACTCTATAAATAATATAGACAAAGCAACGGGACTGTTCATAGAGAAAATAAAAAAACTAATAGATATTAGTACCAATAAAGTAATAATTAGTCACAAAGAGAAAAGCAGAAATGCCTGGATTACCAAAGGATTAATAACATCGGCAATAGAAAAAGAAAGACTATATAATGTAATGAAACTAACGCCAACTACAGAGAATACCGACGGCTACAACCAATATAAAAATAAATTTATAGAGCTTGTAAGGCAAATCAAACGGAAACATTACCTAAATAAATTGAATAATAACTTAAATGATCCTAAGCGGCTTTGGACAACTATTGATGAGATTACTGGGAAAACAAAAGTTAAGTGTGTCACTGAGTTAAATACAACATCGGGAACAGTATTAAAAAATACTCAACAGATATGCGATGAATTTGTACAATTCTTTACTGACATAGGCGAAAATTTAGCAAGTAATATAAAAGCAAATGTACAAAATACTCCAAAAAGAACTTTGAACTCATTTATTTTGGATAAAGTCGAGCAATGTGAAGTATACACCACTGTTATGTCCTTAAAAAATCGGAAAAGTCCTGGGTTCGATGGTATTAAAAGCGAGCATTTGAAAATTATATCCACTTACCTAATCAACAAATGCTTTGAATCTGGCATATATCCCTCAATTTTAAAAAAAGGTAATATAATACCGATACATAAATCAGGAACAAAAACCGATGTTAACAACTATAGACCAATATCAATAATATCCAGTGTAGCAAAGGTTTTTGAAAAAGTTTTATCTACTAGAATGATTCGATACCTCACAAAATTCAAAATTTTAAGTGAAAATCAATATGGATTTACAGAAGGGAAGGCTACATCGGACGCAATAACTAAAATTGTAAATCAAATACATCAAAATATTGATAACAGAATCCCTTCAATCTGCATTTTTGTTGATTTAAAGAAAGCTTTCGACACAGTTAATCACAAATTATTATTAGAAGCATTGGAGAGAATTGGTTTCAGAGGAAACGCGTACTCACTGATCGAAAGTTATTTGTCAAATCGCCCACAATCTGTGCAGATATCAGGATCATTTAGTAAAGAAATGTATATTAAGTGTGGTGTCCCACAAGGAACTGTCTTAGGTCCGCTGTTATTCAATATATATTTAAATGATATTTTCCAAATTAATTGTGTTGGCAAAATAACTAGTTTTGCAGATGATACTGCAATATTATATGAAGGCACTGACTGGTCTGATCTGAACAATGTAATTGAAAATGATTTTATCAAAATTATTCGGTGGTTTAACAGTAGAAAATTAAGCATTAACTACTCTAAAACACATTTTTTACCATTTGGATCTTATGCTAGACATCTGCCAAATTACACAAATTTCTCCTTCAATATTAATGATCCAAAAATGCAAATTAATAGAGTGCCCAACATAAAATACCTTGGAGTGGTCTTGGATCCTCACTTACGAAGGGACATCCATGTCAATTATATTTTAAAGAAAGTTAGATTTGTATCCTACAAAATTAAATACCTTGGGAATATATTGACAGAAAAATATCTTCGAACATTATACCATGCACTGATTGAGCCTCATCTCACATATGGTATATTAGCATGGGGAGCTGCATGTTCCTCACATATCTATAATTTAGATGTTTTTCAAAAAAGTATTCTAAAAATGATATTTAAAAAACCGAAAATTTATCCCACTGAAAAATTATACGCAGATGTTCGAATGTATGATATAAGACAGTTTTATTTCTTACACAGTATCACTCACTACCATAAATTTGTAAACACCGACAAAAAAATTAAACATAATCATTATACCAGGTACAAAATTCGTGGCACAGTAGTTCCTCAACCGCATAAATCTATAATGCAGCGTTCATATCTCTATTTAGCGCCTAAATTTTATGAAATTATACCTAAAGACTTAAAAGATGTACGTTTCGGAAATTGTTTCAAAAGAAATTTAAAAAAGTGGCTACATTCTATATCTAGGACTGAAATTCATAAACTCATAAATACGAACATCAACTAAATACATAATCTACTATAGCTAATTTTTGTCCTTTTTTGTCATTTGCATTCTACAGTTTCAACTTAAATTTATCCATGTACAGGCGATGCCTTCTATTGGGCCTGTTTTGATTTTATATTTATTTACTCATATTGTTTGTTATCTTTGTATATTGAGTGAATAAATATTATTATTATATTATTATTATTATTCTGTAACGAAAGCATCTAATTTGTTACTCCCACATTAATTTATTACAGATTTATGGCTATCTGGCGTCTATGGTATGCTGTGTTGTTGACTGTCAGTTGATTGCCTCTGCCATCTGTGCCTGTATTTATCTTCGAATCGACGAGACCAGAAGCGTTCCCGCGTTTCCTTGACGGAGCTAGAGACAGAAAAAATAAGAAATCAGTTCTAAAATGTGCTATGACCGATGCACTGATGAGACTGAATAAAGACTAAACATTGTTCAAATAACGAAAGATATGTTTAGTCTCCTTATATACTGCATACAATTTTCAATATCAAACTGTTCTAACTTCAGCGTCTTTTCAAAGCAGCCCTATAGCTACAAAGTATTGAGTCAATATCTTGACCCAATCCAATGCTATAATTTTTGTTGATGTCAAAATTCATTATCCAATTTTTCAAATCTCAACATCCTGTATAAGCTATCTTTATGTTTATACAGGGTGTCCCAGAAGTCGACGTCAAGCCGAAACCGGGTGATAGGCAAAGTCATAACAGCTATCAGAAAAATATTTAAAAAAATTTTATGTATGTGTTTTGAAACTTATAGGTCTTTGAAAAAAATTTAGAAATTTCACACCCTACGGCAGTCTGTCAACTCCTGTTACTACAAATATTAACTTTTTTTGGATTTTATTTTTACAATGTAATGATGAATAATGCATCTTCAAACTGGTGTCTCAAGCTTACTGCCAACTTTTCTCGTTCAGGAAAAATTGCCACTTATTTCCCAACCAAGTATTCCAAAGTAAAACTTTGCTCAACTTTAACTGGCTGTAATGGAAAAAATATACTACGAGAGTTTGCCAAGTAACCTTAAAAGTTGGCGCTTTTAATAACGATTCCAAAATGGTATAACACTTAGAAGATTACTCGTTAACTTATGCACAATTTTATTTGAAAAAAAACTGATGAAAATTTTTCAAAATTTCCTAATTAAACAGCGATTATGAAAACGCACAAAGACCCTTAAGGATAACTGTTGGCACAACAGTGGGCGTCAAAATGCTGCTGATGATGATTTACCTTTACAGCAAATGCTCAAACTGTTTTCCTTCAGCCGCAATACACGCTCGACATCTTCTTAAAAAAGATCGGGTTATTAAACGAGCGAATCCACGGTTATTAACAAACTCAGCTGCTTCCAATAGTCTTTGCCGTAGCTCAGCTACATTTTGAATCGGCTTGAAATACACTTTTTCTTTTACAGTTCCCCAGTAAAAAAATCTAAAGGATTCAAATCAGGTGATCGGGCTGGCCACGGTATTGTACCAGACCGCCTTATCCATCTGCCTAGAAAGTTTTGATCGAGATACTCTCTCACTGAGAGTGCATAGTGCGCTGGGCAGCCATCATGCTTAAACCACATGTCCCTGTAAATACTCAGTGGCACGTCCACCAATAAATCTTGTACATGATTTTTCAAAAAATCCAAATAAACTTCAGCAGTCAAAGTCTCTGGGAACTCAAACGGACCGATTATTTTACCATTTAAAATTCCTGTCCAATGGTTTATCTTGAAGCGATATTGAGATTTATCTTCTCTCATCAAATGTGGGTTTGCTACGTGCCACTCGTGTAATTTATGCAGGTTCATGTACCAATCTTTCTTAAATGTGGTCTCATCCGACCACAAAATTTTTTCAAAGAACTGTGGATCTTTCCTGTGTCTTTCTAACATTGTGCGACAAAAAGCAACTCGGGGCTCATAATCCCGGGGCAGGAGAGGTTGAACACGCTGTATGTGGTATGGATGAAGCACATCACTTACTTGCTATTGCACACTTTGATACCGATCAGTACTCCTTCGTTTACTGCGCATCTTTACATGTTCGTGCTTGTTGATTTCGTACTGTTATTAATTTTGGATTCGTGAACTGGACTGTTGATCGCTTGTGATTTGGATTTGGACTGTTTAATTGCTCTTCAAAACAACATTTGCTTTCCTTAGACTATCTTTGATAGTGTGATTGTGCAGTGCCGCTATGTCCGTGTACACCGTACAAGAATATGCTAACATGCACCTCATTTATGGGGAATGCAGATGCAACGCTAGTGCTGCAGCGAGACTTTACTGTGAGAGGTACCCGAATGCAGCTCGTCATCCAGACCATCGAGTGTTCACAAATGTGCACCGCTTACTGTTCTCAGAGGGCCAACTACCAAACCAATCACACGGTGAGGGAAGATCTTTCCTTCCTTATGAAGACGTTGCTAGGAGCTGTCGAAGAAGACTCGAGTACTTCAGTGCGTGCAATAGAACTAAAAACAGGTGTGCCCAAAATTACAGCCCATAGAATCTTGCAAAAAAACGTGCTCCATCCATACCACGTACAGCGTGTTCAAGCTCTTCTGCCCCGGGATTATGAGCCCCGAGTTGCTTTTTGTCGTACAATGTTAGAAAGACACAGGGAAGATCCACGGTTCTTTGAAAAAATTTTATGGTCAGATGAGACCACATTTAAGAAAGATGGGTACATGAACCTGCATAACTTACACGAGACTTTGACTGCTGAGGTTTATTTAGGTTTTTTTGCAAAATCATTTAGAAAATTTATTGGAGGACGTGCCACTGAGTATTTACAGGGACATGTGGTTTTAGCATTATGGCTGCCCCGCGCACTATGCACTCTCAGTGAGAGAGTATCTCGATCAAAACTTTCCAGGCAGATGGATAGGGCGGTCTGGTACAATACCGTGGCCAGCCCGGTCACCAGATTTGAATCCGTTAGATTTTTTTACTGGGGAACTGTAAAAGAAAAAGTGTATTTCAAGCCGATTCAAAATGTAGCTGAGCTACGGCAAAGACTATTGGAAGCAGCTGAGTTTGTTAATAACCGTGGATTCGCTCGTTTAATAACCCGATCTTTTTTAAGAAGATGTCGAGCGTGTATTGCGGCTGAAGGAAAACAGTTTGAGCATTTGCTGTAAAGGTAAATCATTATCAGCAGCATTTTGACGCCCACTGTTATGCAAACAGTTATCCTTAAGGGTCCTTGTGCGTTTTCATAATCGGTGTTTAATTAGGAAATTTTGAAAAATTTTCATCAGTTTTTCTTCAAATAAAAATTGTGCATAAGTTAACGAGTAATCTTCTAAGTTTTATGCCATTTTGGAATCCTTATTAAATGCGCGAACTTTTAAGGTTACTTGCCAAACTCTCGTAGTACATTTTTTTCCAGTACAGCCAGTTAAAGTTGAGCAAAGTTTTACTTTGGAGTACTTGGTTGGGAAATAAGTGGCAATTTTTCCTGAACGAGAAAAGTTGGCAGTAAGGTTGAGACACCAGATTGAAGATGCATTATTCATCATTACATTGTAAAAATAAAATCCAAAAAAAGTTAATATTTGTAGTAACAGGAGTTGACAGACTGCCGTAGGGTATGAAATTTCTATATTTTTTTCAAAGACCTATAATTTTCAAAACACATACATAAAGTTTCTTTAAATATTTTTCTGATAGCTGTTATGACTTTGCCTATCACCCGGTTTCGGCTTGACGTCGACTTCTGGGACACCCTGTATTATCTACTTTATGCCCCAGAAACATTTTCACATTGTTCTGCATCGCCTTGCATGTTCCTTTTTTTATAAACAGACGACTTCCGTTTCTCAAGATTCTTCAAGAGATCACTGAACGACTGTTGCAGCTTTTCGCCGTTCGATTTTGGGTCAATGCCAAGGGTGATCATAGTTCGGATCACCGGCCATCCGCAGAGCCTGCAAGTGTAACAGTTTAGTGTGTGGTCACTGTAGAGCAACCAAGGGCGGTGGCGCGGGTTGTTTGCTTTCGTCGTCGCCAGACTGGAAAAATCCAGTACGGTCGATGGCTGCCCCTCTTTATTTTACGGTGAAAAAGAGTGAAAATGAACGTTTTCTCTGTACAAAAGCATCATGTTTTAATCAAGAAGTGGTCTTGTTTGTAATACAGTCGAATTTTCACGATTTTATTCAATATTTTAATAGAAATCACTGATATTCTGAGACCTTTGACAGCTTCTGTCAAATTGCATTTCGATCAGGTATTTTCCCATTGGTCTATAATATTAATGTTGGTGAAATCGGCCCTTAGTCTCATAAAGACTCTAATGCGACTATTACAGTCTTTTCACGTCTTCAATGCTTATGACCATAAACTTTCACAATACTGTGCATTTTTTATTTGATGACATATCTATTTTCTTCGTGATAATATCGTGGAAGAAATTTTTGGAATGTATTGTCAATTGCATAGAAGATGAAACTTCAAGAGTGGGAGCTTCTGGCGAAGATATAATGATTGCAAGATCTCTCCTTTCCTCCATGAACTGGACCTTTTTTTTCAATTTGTTATGGTGGCATTCAGTATTGAGCGTAATGAATACCGTGCAAGTTCAAACGCAAAAGAAAGAAATAGACTTGATGATGGCTCAAAGGTGTATTTCAGCAGCATTAAAAAAAAAATTAAAAGTTTTGAGGCTCGTAAGCACATACGATAATTTTGTTCTGAAGGCTGCTTCCCCTCCCCCCAGGTACTAAGCGAGTTTACCGATTTTTAGGTGAATTATATTACCTCCCCAATAACCTTTTCCCATTTAATTAAAAAAGATACAGCTTTGACTACCAAATCGAGGACTCCACTTTCAGTGCGCTGTTGAAGTTCTTCCAGAATATTTACTGCTCCATCATGATACACCAGGTCTTTCAAATAGCCCCGCAGAAAAAAATTGCAAGGCGTTAAATCCGAGGAGCGAGTAATCATTATAAGACGATTATTATTATATGACATGCAAGAAACATTTCCGACCTTTAGAAATTAAAAGACTTCGCTTCTGAAACATTTTCTATTTTCCATTTTCCCGACACGAGCAACGACAAACGTTGGCTTGACCGCGCAAGAGCTACAGCAAAACAACGAATGTATTAGATGCCGCACAATCAGAATAAAACCAGGGTGGAACACAATGGCGATATAAACAATGTGTTGGCGATGTAAAAAACAGGCGTTGAACAGAGGCGAATAATATGTATCGGTCGTGACCAGCCGGAAATATTTCAATACACCGAGTGCAAAAATTCTCGGCTCTATTCTTCACGAGTTGCAAAAATCTGCGTTGGCTGCGGTAGTAGCGCTAGCTACCGGAGTTCACTTGTTTTGGCGTTCGAATAGTCGCGCTGCTTCTATTCTAGACCAGTAAACAAGAAGTATCGTCCTTAAATATGTGAAATGTGTCTTTGTATCTAATAACAACAAATAACGATGCAGAATAAATGTATGCGCTCAACCTAAATTTTATATTACTCTGTCTATGATGGTTGTCTGAATATTTCGTCTTGTATTCGTAGATAGTGGAGCGAGTGACAAATCGATATAAATAGGAAACAATTTTTTGCCCCTAAATGCTCTCCAGAATGATCAAGATCCTTTGAAAGGTCTCAAAACGAAGTTTGATGCGATGTTGATTCCTTTCGTTCTGGACTGTATACTGAATTTCGTCCTGGGCATAGTAGTAAACCTTGTGTAAAAATTTCATTAAAATAAATTGGTACTTACGAAGACGGACGGAAATAAATGGCATTGTTTTCCATGATGTACATGTCATATAACATCCAAAAAACATATTCCATTTTCGAAACGTTTCGCGATTAAAATACTTCCTCACCGGTAGTCGTGGGAAGTAACAGGGTTCAAAATGTCTATTGCTTTGATTTACCTTAGATTCACCTCATAAGGGCAGTGAAATCGCAATCCGTTATATATATGGTGTAAATATAAAGTTACCCATTCATCGGATTTCGATTTCGTCAATGAAAAGTGATGTGCACGGTTGAGAGAAGAGATCGTTGACTGAACGATGCGCTTTTTGATTTTAAGGTCAAAGCCAAGGGAGGCGAACCATGATCGTGTCCGGATCACTGACCATCCGAAAAGCCTGTATACGGTTTTCGAACAGGACCGTTTCGTAGACTGTTTGTTGTTCAGCTGATTTTGTTTCATTTGCAATAAAATATACTAAGTGACATAGAAATCCGAACACCCAATTTAAATGGTTTTATTTTAATAAAATTTTGTATAAGTACTTAATGAAGCATAATAAGTAAATGATAAAAATTTCAAAATGATTGCACTGCTTTAGAGCCCTTTGACCTTTAATAATGTGTGGATGCACCCTGATGTGCTACGCATTCTCCAACGCGCCTAGGCATGCTTCTGATCAGGTGGTCAATGTCCTCCTGTGGTATCTCATTCCAGGCAACCACCAACTCTTCTCGAAGTGCTTCTAGAGTCTGAGGAGGACGTTGCAAATTGAGCAATCTCCTACCCATCATATCCCACACGTGCTCAACTGGGGATAAGTCGGGAGATCTTGGTGGCCATGGTAACAATGTGACATCATTATGTTGAAAGAAGTCTATTGTGACTCTTGCAACATGTGGTCGGGCATTATCTTGTTGGAAAGATGGATTTGCCAGGGTGTCAAGATAGGGTAAAAGATTGGGTTCTAGAACTTCGTGGATATAACGCTGCGCGTTCATGTTACCTCTGATGAAAATTAAAGGTGACCTGGAACCATAAGCTGTAGCACCCCAAACCATAACTCCAACAGTGTGATGAAAACATGTCTTTCAACAAAAAACTGTGGATTCCTCCTTTCACCATGTCGCCTTCTAACCCTGGCACGACCATCGTGCATGCCTAAACAAAATCGAGACTTGTCACTGAAGACAATACTGTTCCATTCCTGATCCCAGGGTGACCGTTGTCTGCACCACTCAAGGCGATTACGTCGGTGTTCTCGAGTTAAAGGGAGGACCCAGTGTGGCCGGTATGAAAACAAGCCAAAACTTCTCATTCGTCGGTAAACACTTCGCATGCCAATAGGTCTTCCGTGTTCTGCAAACCATTCATTTGCAATGGACCTGGTAGTGGAGAAACGGTCCCTTAAGGCCAACAATCTTAGGCGGCGATCTTCACGGTCTGTTGTTCTACGGCGGCGTCCAGTGCTCCTTGCTCTTTGCGTACGGCCTTCTCGAAGCCATGCCTGACAACACCTAACCACAGTGTCTACACTTCTTTGCACTCTAACTGCAATTGCCCGAAAAGAAAGTCCAGCTTCCCGAAGTCCCACTATACGGCCCCTATCAAACTCACTAAGTTGACGAAATCGTACAGGTCTTCGTACTCTAGGCATCGTAACCGATCGTAAAGGATGTCAAGAACCAAAATCTGCCAACGTTGATTCTTTACTGCGGCTGAAATATTCATTTTTAGAGCGTTAGTGAATTAAAAAAAAGCAGTATAAAAACCGGAATGTCCAACTGATAAGGCTGAAAATTTTTTCACTTGTAATTTACAGTAAGATAAATACATTCACCAACTTTCATTAAAATAAAACCATTTAAATTGGGTGTTCGGATTTATATGTCACTTAGTATATGTATCGGCGTATTAGAGGTAGAGAACGTTGAAATCGAATAGAATGAATAAAATAATTATAAATAAATAAATAATTAAAAATAGTTAGTTTCCATACATGTCTTTGCGAAGTTTAGGTAAAATCCACTTTTTTGTTATATATATTTCCTTAACTTGGTGTATGAAATTTGGGCATCATTAAAACTTATTTAATCCATTCTTCTATCGGATCTAGCCGCTGTAGAGGTTGACAAATTTTTTCGCTTCTTCAATATTATCTTTTTTTTTCCATCTGGTTCTACCTTTAGCTTTTCAGTCCAAATGCATTTGCCTTTTTCTTAAATTTTCCGATTCTCCAGACTCTTGTATTTGGCATTCTAATCATGTGTCCAAACCACCTTCGCGTTCACTTGTATTCTTTTTTTCTACAGATATGATATCTAATTTTCTTATTTCTACCTTTCTTTGTCCGTAATCTTCAGTTCAGCAATTCTTGTTGGCAGTTTCATTCCATTTGCCTGTATTGTCTGTCTCTGTCTTTTATGCAATTTCCACAGTTATGAACCATATGTTCGAACAGGGAAATATGGTGAGCTAAACATCAGTATTTTTCTCTTGTAAATACGAGTACATATTGCTTTTTTGTTAAATTATTTTGTTGGAAGTATAATGTTGTAGATACTTTTATTGTATCTTCTATCTTTGCCTCTACGTTTCCATCCTCTGTTACCAATATTTAAAAATATTTAAACCGTTATTTGTTGTTCTAATCAGATTTCTATGTTACGTGATCTTAACTCTTACTCATTCATTTTGTTCATATTTGTTTTCAGTTTGTATTTTCTGAATTCCTCATTCCACACCTCACCCTTGTGCCTCCTGACGTTGTTTTCTTCCTTCTATTTAGCATTCTTTTGTAATTTTCAATTAGTACTGTGAACTTTTAAAATATTTAGACGAGAATGCGGTCAAATCCACAGTGGACATAAATAATTTGAATTTGAATCCGATATGGAAGGTTAGCAGCGTCTATGTACAGTACGATCCCACTGTCACCAGGCGTGTTATGTGTATATGTTATAAAATTTAACATTGACTGTAACAGTTTTCCACACATTGCACACGGCAGCCTTCGAAATTAACAAAAGTGACGACACAGCTCACTGATCAAATCAAGCATATTGCACTTTGAAATCAATATAGTGTGAATCTCCAAGCACCTGCCTGGGTAATTTCAGAAACCACAGAATGAACAGGGTTCTCCTTTCAACCAAATAATTTACAAATAGTCAATATGGCATCTGATACCATTATCCATGCTAGATTGATCACTTGTAGTCATTTGCTACTTGCTACTGGTTATAGAGAAAGTGTAAGCTTGATAGATTCAATAGGGTATAATAAATATAATTTAATTTACCAAAACGAATTCATAGTAACTGAAATGGATTGTTTACCATACGTTTTTCTTGGATGCTCATGATGATGCAGTTAACCTTCGTTTTGTACACCACGCTAGGTTTTTTCACATTTTTTACGCCCGATTTTAAGTTTGTAATTTGTAAAACAAGCTTTGTCACTTTAGCATCATAACAGGAAATGAAAATAAATTATAATTTTTGATATTTTAGTAATCTGATACACAGTATGTTCAAAAATAATGTCAATAGTTCTAGTTTGCAAATAACTCTAAGTTCCTGTAGACATATCGTTACGAGCTTGTTGGTTTGTTTCTCATTTCTCATAAATGTTTCCGATCCAGGTTTGAATTCTCTCACTGTCTATCGATCTGTTCGTTAGCATATTATCATCGCGCGTTTTCAGTGAGTCTCTAAAATGCATCTTGATTTGGCATTGAGATTGTTTTCATAATCACCGAAAAATTTATAAAGTTTTAATTCCTTAGCGTATCTAAAGTTTCAGATTCCTGTAACTAGCTGAAATATGGCAAATTCATCAGCTGGAGTCTTTCACAATGAACAAAGATTGCTAATTGACGCAATGCATTTAAGAATCTTCAAAGGAAATGCAGTAATTGCTGCCTTTCGGCTTACGCGATAACAAGATCTAGATTCTAGAAAATGTTCATTAATATTGATGTCCTTTTTTCTAAAGCGTAATAACAGCGAATCTAGCCGTAGCACGAGAGAATGAAAACGCTGAAAGTATTATCATTTTCATGCATTTGATGATGAGCACTTGTACGTTCGTTCGTTGTATTCAGAAACAGCTATTTTTTAACAGTGGATGAGCACGTGCTACGGTTGCTCCAGTGGCGTCACAGAAAAAAATTATCAAGGCCTTTGGTTCCAGTATAACACGCTGCAGACATCATTTCAATATTCTTTTTGGACAGGGAAACGTTTTATCGCTACTCTTAGGCAGAAAAACAAAACGTAAGAACGGTTATAACGGCCCTACTACTCCGATTGGGGTTCAAACGGCTTGACTAACAGATTCAGCGTAAGAGAGTGAATCCCGTTCAGAGTTTTCTTTGTACTTACGAATAGAGCACAGGTGCATAGCCTGAATCCCTAGAACAAAATAAGAGGTGATTCCTTGCATTATTCTAAGCAAAAAAGTTCATTATAACTTATGTCCGAAAATCAATCGTTTACGAGGAAAGTGAGTCGTAAATAATTAAATTTTTTCAAACATTTGGCAACGCTGCAAGCAACGCACGACGACCGCAACTGATTCATCGAATTGTTTACGTTTGTATGATATTTTTGTTGGGAATATGCTTTGAATTATTGAATACTTTTAGCAATGTTTTGTGGCTAATATTTTTTATTTAATAGTGCTTTCAGTACAGTACATTCACTTAAAAAAAAATTACAGAACACACCCCCAATTCCCACGATTATCAGTCACTTATTTGAAACGATACGATGCACGAAAAAAGAAAAAAGCAACATCCGTAAACCACATTCAGTTACAGTTAAATGTATTAGTAAATCACAACAACACGCGAAGATACATGCAGTGCAGGTGGAGTACGACGTTGCCAGTTGTGTGAGGGATTTTGTTTGTCTGTTTTTCTTCGGAAAATTGTATTTAATAAGCAAGAAAATTATTTTGTTAGAGACGGTTAGTTAATAAATAAATGTATTGATACATTTTACGCTATTAAGCATATGAATTTAAATGATTAAGGTGCATAGTTAATTTATTTCATGACTAAAAAAACGGAGATAGGTTGTAATGAACTTTTTTGCTTAGAATAATGCAAGGAATTATTTCTTAAAGTTACGAATATTATTTCCCTAACACCCTGTATAGCAGGAAGCTAAGCGAGGAACTGTCTTTGCTTTCGGGGATACACCTCAGAGGGAGGTTATCTATCGTGCCTCCTGATTAGGATTTCGGTTTCAGCCAAGGAGCTATAAATTATCAGATTCAGCAACCCTAAATGAGGTTGGCGGCATGGTCCGTCATTTTATCGAGACCTAGCTTTACTGCATTGCGTTGAATTGGCTGCCGCTAAGATCAGTACGAGGTCATCCCAACCTTGCCCGAGCAGACTCCTGACGTAGATAGTCATTCGGTATGAAGGTTAGGTGACAGTTTGTACTTTTACGACCTAACAATTATATTGTCCACGAATCTACAGTGTTTAATTACAAAGGTGATTCTAATTCCGCGCGTCCTCCATTAACAGACGAAGCCCTTGGATAAACATGTGGAGGCTTGTCGTCACACGGCGTTTCATATCCATCCAGGTGCTCACCATGGTGGCGAGAGAAAGACAATGTCCACACTGGTGGCACTGGTTCGCTCCACATAAACAATCTTCACCGGTGTATTTTCAAAGCAAAGCAAGCGCGGAACGTGGCTCGTGCTGTGTAAATCTGTTTGCCGGGGAGGTAGAGGCGGTACGGCGGCGGCGTCGGCAAGCAGCCACCCGTGCGATATTCGGTACGGTCCACCGCGAGCAGTACCGCGGTACGGCGTCCGTTACCAGCGCAGGACGATGACTCCTTAACAATATGTTAGACGAGGCGAAAATCTCACATTCATGGGGAACATTTGCGACTCATTTATTTTTTAACAGTTTCGATATCTCCGCATAACAGACGCTCAGCTACATGCTACCAGAGTATAGGCGCTCACCTTAAGAACCACTCAGCGACAACTGGTCCAAATGGATCCATTCTGCCGTGAGTTGACAGAAGAAATACATGACAAACCACGATTTGGACAGGACCCGATGTTGTCACGTGCACGAATAAAATTTGAACGACAAACTTCACGAAACACGAAGACACCTACATCATTTGATTGACAATGCATTTTCGGCATTTTTTGCGATTAAAATACTTCCTCGGCAGTAGGCGTGGGGATTAAAAACCGAGCTTCTTTCACTAACGCGAGGTTTTCGCCCCGTCTATTAACAATACATTATATCAGGCATCGCGACGCAGGCGGTATGGCGGCGGCGTCGCGGTTCAGGTACGACAACGGCAGTACGCTGTACAACACGTGCTCGAGGATCGCTTTTAATTCATACAACTCAGACAGAAAGGTTTTTTTCAGGAAGTGGTTAATTGATGCTAACAAACCTTGGCAGGTCCAAAGACCTCAGCGGATTTTCGTTGCCAGAAAGTCCGGAGTAGCGATAGGAAAGTAGGCGTCTATCTGGTGAAGTCTGCTTCGCATAACATCCAGAATTGTTTTTGAGGCAAAAACGTCTAATACTTGTTGCTGTAACTCCTATTCAACGCTACGGGTTTAGGTCAGGTTTTTCGAGAGTGGTTCAGTCACGATCCCTTACTACGACTCACTGACCTATTGTGGCCAAGAATAAGTCAGATCGGCTTGAATTCACTGGAGGTTCGACTCCTTCGAATCCTCAGAAGTATGCAATTATGAGGCCGCATTCGGATTTGTGATCGAATCGAAACGATCGATTCCGAGAGCAGATTTGGAATCATGAACTAATCAAAGGAATAGATTGTGAGATCGGTAAAGGAATCGTGAACGGCTCGGAAGAACGGTACCGAGGCCGGAATCGGAATCGTGAACGGATGGAAGAAATCGATTCTGAGCAATCGGAATCGTGAACGAATCAACAGAATAGATCCCGAGACCGGTATCGGCATCATGGAAGGATCAAAGGACTCGATTCCGAGGCCAGAATCAAAATTGTAAACGGATCGAATGAATCGATTCTGAGGCCGGGATCGGAATCGTGAGTGAATCGATGGAATCAATTCCAAGGCCAGAATCGAAATTGTAAACAAGTCGAAGTAATAGATTTCAAGGCCGGGATCGAAGTCGTGAACGGATGGAAGAAGTCGTTTCTGAGGCCAGAATCGGAATCGTGAACGAATGGAAGGAATCGATTCCGACACAAAAATCAAAACTGTAAACGAATCGAAGGATCCGATTCCGAGGCCGGAATCGGAATCATCAACGGATCGAAGAAATCGATTCTGAGGCCGGATTCGGAATCGTGAACGAACCGAAAGAATCGATTCCGAGACCGGGATCGGAATCCTGAACGGACCGAAGAAATCGATTTTAAGCAATCGAAATCGCGATCGAAACAACGGAATCTATTCCAATTCGGGTACCGGAATTGTGAACGAATCGAAGGAATCGATTATGAGGCGAAAATCAAAATTGTAAACGAATCGAAGGATTCGATTCCGAGGCCGGGATCGAAATCGTGAACGGCTCGAAGAATTCGATTCTGAGGCCGGATTCGGAATCGTGGAAAAATCGAAGGAATCGATTCCGAGACCAAAATCAAAATTGTAAACGAATCGAAGGATTCGATTCCGAGGCCAGGATCGGAATCCTGGACGGATCGATAAAATCGATTTTAAGCAATTGAAATCGTGAACGAAACAACAGAATCTATTCCAATTCCGGTACCGGAATCGTGAACGAATCGAAGGAATCGATTCCGAGGCCGGAATTGGAATCATGAACGAATGGAAGGAATCCATTCCGAGATCAAAATCAAAATTGTAAACGAATCGAAAGATTCGATTCCGAGGCCGGGATCGGAATCGTGAACGGATCGAAGAAATCGATTTTGGGGCCAGATTCGGAATCGTGAACGAATCGAAGGAATCGATTCCGAGGCCAAAATCAAAATTGTAAACGAATCGAAAGATTCGATTCCGAGGCCGGGATCGGAATCCTGGACGGATCGATAAAATCGATTTTAAGCAATTGAAATCGTGAACGAAACAACAGAATCTATTCCAATTCCGGTACCGGAATCGTGAACGAATCGAAAGATTCGATTCCGAGGCCGGGATTGGAATCATGAACGGATCAAAGAAATCGATTCTGAGGCCAGATTCGGAATTGTGAACGAATCGAAGGAATCGATTCCGAGGCCAAAATCAAAATTGTAAACGAATCGAAAGAATCGATTCCGAGGCCGGGATCGGAATCGTGAACGGATCGAAGAAATCGATTATGAGGCCAGATTCGGAATCGTGAACGAATCGAAGGAATCGATTCCGAGGCCAAAATCAAAATTGTAAACGAATCGAATGATTCGATTCCGGGGCCGGGATCGGAATCGTGAACGGATCGAAGAAATCGATTCTGAGGCCAGATTCGGAATCGTGAACGAATCGAAGGAATCGATTCCGAGGCCAAAATCAAAATTGTAAACGAATCGAAAGATTCGATTCCGAGGCCGGGATCGGAATCGTGAACGGATCGAAGAAATCGATTCTGAGGCCAGATTCGGAATCGTGAACGAATCGAAGGAATCGATTCCGAGGCCAAAATCAAAATTGTAAACGAATCGAAAGATTCGATTCCGAGGCCGGGATCGGAATCGTGAACGGATCGAAGAAATCGATTCTGAGGCCGGATTCGGAATTGTGAACGAATCGAAAGAATCGATTCCGAGGCCAAAATCAAAATTGTAAACGAATCGAAAGATTCGATTCCGAGGCCGGGATCGGAATCGTGAACGGATCGAAGAAATCGATTCTGAGGCCAGATTCGGAATCGTGAACGAATCGAAGGAATTGATTCCGAGACCAGGATCGAAATCGTGAATGGATCGAAGGAATTGATTCTGAAGCCGGAATCGGAATCATGAACGAATGGAAGGAATCCATTCCGAGATCAAAATCGAAACTGCAAACGAATCGAAGGAATCGATTCCGAGGCCTGGATCGGAATCATGAACGGATCGAAGAAATCGATTCTAAGCAATCGAAATCGTGAACGAAACAACAGATTCCGGTACCGGAATCGTCAACAAATGGAAGGAATCGATTATGAGGCCAAAATCAAAATTGTAAATGAATCGAAGGATTCGATTCCGAGGCCGGGATCAGAATCGTGAACGGATCGAAGAAATCGATTCTGAGGCCGGGATCGGGATCGTGAGTGAATCGAAGGAATCAATTCAAAGGCCAAAATCGAAATTGTAAACAAATCAAATTAATCGATTTCAAGGCCGGGATCGGAATCGTGAACGAATGGAAGGAATCGATTCCGAGACCAAAATCAAAATTGTAAACGAATCGAAGGAATCGATTCCGAGGTCGGGTAG